GAAATGTACATTTATAAAGTAAAAATATGCATCTTTGATATAAAAAGGTAGATTTTCATTATGAAAATCTACATTTCTAAGTTGATATTGTACAATTCTGGCTTGATGATTTATAGACAGCCTGCAAAGTTATTTCTAACGTTCATAAATGATTTTTACGTGTAAAACAGAGTGTCTGTTGAATTCTAGTAAGCTCACAGTGACTCTGCATCCCTGCATGAGGCCAGTGAGTCAGACTTTGCTCACAAAAATAAAATGTGAGGGAGTGAAAAAACCTCATAACATCCTTAAAACATGCAGGCGTGATGTTGAACCTTAATGTGTGACTTTAGAAGGAACGTGTTATAAAAATCATCTGAGGCCTTGATAACATCTGGGCAGCATCTTCTGAGTCATCGTCGAGCATCTTCTGCTGATATGAAAACATCCTTTTGTTATATGTTTATATATTAACTTTACAGGAACATTGCTGCAGATGATTTCTGTACGTTTCTGACAGAACCTCCCCTCTGATCATTTACAGCCTGTAAAGTTCTTATCAAACGTTTTGTATCAGTGTGTCTGTTAGTTTCTGGGGATCTCGTGGTGATGGAGGCCAGAGAATCAGACTTTGTTCTCAGGCAGAGCAACAGAAGTAAAATGTCTTCTATAGGGAGAAGGAATGCCCCCCCAGGATTAGTCTGGTCTCTCATGAGGGAGCCTCGTGACGGAGCTGGAGGGGCAGGAAGGAGGCAGACGGAGCTTTAATGAGCTCTGATTGTTGTCTGAAGTTGCTGCACTGTTAAAAATGATGGAGTCTACGTAGCACAAGCTGCATCAAGTCTTCTACTGATGATAACATCAGCGTAAGTCGTAAATATTAAATGAGACAGCTGAAGGATCGAATCACCACTGAGTGTGAACACTTGATGTTCATGTTTGTGTGTGTGATCAGGTTTGTGTTGTGTTTCAGAGAAGTCCAACCAGTTTCTGAAGGATCCAACTGATTTGATGACAAACATGTACGGAGACACCATTGTTACCACCAACGGTAAACACACACACACACACACACACACTTTCCATGATTTATAGGGTTAGGGTTAGGCGAGACAACGAAAATGAAACGCAAAGCACAGCGTATAACAAAACAGAAAACACAACAACTTACCACAAAACACTACAAAAATGAAAACACAACATTTTCCAAAGGTCACATAAAACAACATTTTAGAAAATATGCTATAAATGACATCGACAACAAAACGGAAAATACTAAATGTGGCAACAGAACATTTGAGAAACGACAGCATTTCACTGAATTTAACTTTTTTGAAAACAACAAACATAAAAATACAACAAGAGAGAAAGAGACACAACGTTTCAGAAAACAACAAAATGGAAATCATGACAACAACAGTTCAGAGAAGGTCACAAAATAAAAAACAAACAAACATGAAAACACAACAAAACAAAAAGCACAACATCTGAGGAAACAACAGCATCTCAGAAAACACAACAATTAAATAGAAAACAGCTGTATTTTAGAGAGACACAACACAAACACAACAAAACAGAAAA